CTCAATGAACCATGGCTTCCAGTATTTAGTCCTTTATACACTTAGTTTACCTGAATATGGGCTGACACTGCAACTTGCTTTTGACCTATCAGAGGCAGTATAATTGTTTCTATCTTCAAGGTTAGATCATAAGAAGCCCTATAACAGGTGTGGGCAACCTTTTTGTGAGTGCGTGCCAAAACCAGCAAAATCTCTGACTCAAAATTCTTTTGCGTGCCAACCCTAATTTTTTTAGAACATGTTACACCTACTTGATATCTCTTAAGGTGTACGTATGTGAAGAACCTTAAAGAAATAATATAATTCATTCTAGCGACAAAAACACAGTATATGATGATAAAAAATACATTTATTTTTTAATGTATACATGTTATGTAAAATTATTTATTTATCTAAGATGCACCTACACTGAATTTACCTGAAAAATAAAAAAGGCAATATTTAGAAAAAAATTGTAAATGGAAGATTATAAGAGAGGGTTTCGCGTGCCAGCAAAAGTTACTGGCATGCCATGTTTGGCACACGTGCCAGGGGTTGCCCACCCTGCCCTATAACTTATACCAAAATCTCTTGAAATGTTTCTTTCTCCTAAGAAGCCCTTCTGCCTTAAAGCTACCATGTTGTGAGGAGCCCAAAATAATTACAGTGAGGGAGACAGAGACAGACAGAAAGACAGATGGAGACAGACCAGACATGTGCATAAAGCCTTCTTAAACGTTTCATCCCAGAACATGGCATATATGGAAGAACCCAGGCATGAAATAAGGCTGACAGAACTGAGGCTCCATCAGATATCTGAGCTAGGTGACTCATCTACCTGTCTCTAACCATGGAAACCCCAGTTATACTCAGACAATGAGGAGCAGACATGAGCCATTCTCACTATATTCTGATGGAAATCCTGACCCACAGAACTGGAAGCATAATTGTTATGTAAATGAGCCAGAAGATGGCCTCTGTGTTTTGGTCCCTAAGCCAAAATTGGTTATTTTTTACTGCAGACTGAAACCTCTTAGTTCAAAATCCCTCCACTGTCAAACTTTTAGACATTCAATTGGTTTAAAAATAGCTCAAACAAGCAGATTTTTAGTCATAATAGAGATAGCCTGCTTTGCATACTCCGAGAAACCTCACCCAACGCCTGCCACCAGAGATAAGGTAAATCTACGATTAAAAGACTCCAAGCTTTGACTGTTCTTCAGAGCTTTCTGGCTCAAAGACTTTCTGCTGAACAACATCACCAGGTGCCCTAAACATGTTAACCCTTCAATAGCTTCTGGACAGACTCCTACTCTGAGAGATTTCCCCACGTGCAAACCTGTCAAAGCATAACCCAATCCAGCCAGTATAGGTTCCTGTCACTTCCTGGTCACCGATTCCTACACCAGTGGGGTCCCTTGGCCTGGCCTGCACCCTCTTGCAATCTGAGACCCCTCGGGGGATGTTAGATAGAATGGTATCTTAGTAAAAATTATTATTTTCACTCTATTCCCACAGGCCAGGCTGAGGGACACCACAGTCCTCTAGTATGCATATAAGATCTTTGGTTAATCTCTTCCCACCCTCCCCCAACTCCCCTTTCCTCTGAGATTCATCAATGGCCAATGCACATCATAGCCCACTGGCCAGTGGTCCAGTGGGCCAGTGGGCTGGTTGGCCAGTGGGTTGGTGGGCCGGTTGGACGATTGCTTAGCCTTTTATATATATATACTAGAGGCCTGGTGCACAAAAATTTGTGCACTCGGGGGGAGGGGTTAGGGGTCCCCCAGCCCGGCCTGTGCCCTCTCACAGTCTGGGACCCCTCGGGAGATAACGACCTGCTGGCTTAGGCCTGCTCCCGGGTGGCAGAGGGCAGGCCCAATCCCTAGGTGCAGCCCCTGGTCGGGCTCAGAGCAGGGCCGATTGGGGAGTTGGTGCGCCGCACCCTGTCACACACAGAGCCACAGGGCGATCAGGGGATTGGGGAGCTCCCTCCTATCAGGCACAGAGCAGGGCTGATCAGGGGGTTGGGGCACTGCCCCCTGTCACACACAGAGCCTCAGGGCGATCAGGGGGTTTGGGCACTGCCCCGTGTCCTGCTGATCCCAGTGCCGGGAGGCCTCGCAGCTCTGCTGATCCCGGTGCTGGGAGGCATATTACCCTTTTACTATATAGGATAGAGGCCTGGTGCACGGGTGGGAGCCGGCTGGTTTGCCCTGAAGGGTGTCTTGGATTAGGGTGGGGGACCCCACTGGGGTGCCTGGCCAGGCTGGCTGAGGGGCTGAGGGCTGTTTTCCGGCTGGTGGATCCTGAAGCTCCCAACCACTCCTTTTATTCTTTTGTTTTTTTCTATTCTGGGCCAGCTTTAGCTCTGTGGCCTCGCTGCTGAAAACATTGATACAATGTTGTGGTCCGGCTGGCTGCCAGTTTCTGGGGTTTTGTTTAGCTTCTATATTTGCTACATAGTTTCTTAGAGTTGCAGCTGAGAGGCCGGCAAGTTAGGCGGGGAGTGTTGGAGTCCGCCTTCACTGGAGCAAGCAAGCCTCCCTGTTCGCTTCAGTGCATGGCTGCCAGCTGCCATCTTGGCTGACAGTTAATTTGCATAAGGATATGCTGATTAGCCAATGGGAAGGGTAGCGGTCGTACGCTAATTAGTGATCTCTTTTATTAGTGTAGATAGATGATTAAATTTTATCTCAATCTTCTTAAAAGTATGTGGAATGATAATTTTTTTTTTTACCAAAAAGGATACTGAGTTACCAGAGAAGGGATAGAGTCAAGCCTCAAAACCCTCTCTAACTCTTACCTTCATAAAAAATTTGATTTCTGCATGCTAACTCCTGAAGGAAGATACAGTTGGCTAACTTTCATGTGCAAAGGGGAAATGAAGCTGCATTAAAGTGATGTTTTTGATAAGTTTAACGTATGTAGATATATTTGATTTTTTTGGAAGGGAACAACTGCTTGCCTAAAGTTATTAAACACACTGTACAATGTCAAACATAAGTGAAAATCTAATCATGAACTTGCATGTCTCAGCTGGTATGGCTCCTGTGCCAACGCTAAGAAAACCCAGGAAAACCAGGAGGTCACTATGCCTGATTGATGGGTTCAGTCAAGTCATGAAAAGCAGAAGCCAAAACTATGTAAAACTGAGAGTTGATATACAAAGACAAGACACAGACAAATATTGCAGCCAAGTAAAAATGACCAGTTAAGCTATAATGAAGGGACAGAATGATAGGCAAAAACAATGGCAAGAATTCCTCATAGTATGACAACTAAGAGTATGAATTAAGAAAAATAGAGAAAAGGTAACAAAATGCCAGAAACAAGTTGAAATTTGAGCTATTATAGGAGCAGAAGTAACATGTAAACCTATTTCATAAATTATGAAGCAGCATAAACTTTTATCTATTATTAGGTATTATGTTTGTTTTTTTTCCTTTTTATTGAATTTATTGGAGTGACACTGGTAACAATATTATATAGGTCCCAGGTGCACAATTCTACAACATTTAATCAATTAAATTTCACCATATGTCCCTGCGAGGAAAGGATGATGCTGGTCTTTGTCATCATTGCAAGCCCAGTATCACACATTTAGAAGCCATCACAAAAGTAGGGGTTCAGCATTATTTGTTGAATGATTAAATGAATAAGCGGAACCACCCAGGTAAATACCGTCTCATCATATTAAGGCTCTATAATGTCTTCCTCAAATGCAATATTTCCTTCTCTGTGCTCATAACAAGCTCTGTTTATGTTAGTATCATATTTATCACATTAATGGTTATATAAATTTCTATTTTCCAACATAGATTGTGAGTTCTTTAGAGCCTTGAAGTTAGAAATCATGTATTGATCACTGTTGTATCCTGGGACCTCTTACAGTGCTGGATACATCACACGAACTCAGAAGTGGAAAGATGAACTGTCAGCTTTAAAATTTCAATTGGCCTTGCTTCAAGAACAAACCCATTTGTACACAGGACAGAAAGCCAGGTATTATTGAGGAAAATTGCTTAATCTGCTCTAGGTATTACAGATAATGTCCTGAATCTTCGTAGTTTCATAATAATTTAAAACTTTCTTCTTCTCCTTCTACACCTTCTCCTTCTATTTCTTCTTTTCTTTCTCCTCCTCTTCCTTCTTCGCCTCTTTTTCCTCTTCGTTTTCTCCTTTTTCCTCTCCCTCCTCCTCCTCCTCCACCTCTTCCTTCATTTATAAATATAAGCCACATATTAAGACTTCATTGCCCTTTCAGAATAAACAAAATATATCATGGTAATTTTATATTATTTGGAAAAGGATAGACTTTAAATCCAAAATACATAGGGTTTTAACAATTAAAGTAAAGCATTAGTTTATAAAGCAGGTGATCGAGTTTTAAAGTTCATTATCCAGAAATATGATGAGATGTCCAGTGTGTTTCTCTCCACATCCTGCATGGTTCAGGGTTCGGGTCTGGAAGAGGAGCCGCACACAAATGAAAGAGAAACGACACAAGATAATTTGGAAATATTGGGGGACCAGGCGGGCAAGTCCAACTCAAGGAGAGGGACTTCCACCGATGCTCAGGCTGCTCCAACCTTTGATTTGATCTGGGGTAGCCCTAAGGTAAGGAGGTTTCAATGACACACAGATTAGCTCATCAGCAGACAATTTCCAGAAATAGGCAGAATATCTAATCAACAATAATCAACAAGGATTTACATGAGTATCTAAAGAATTAAGTGAATTAAGGTGGGGATGATGCTTCAGCTATCATTATCTAGATTAACTGGGTGGTACCAAGATTAACTGGGTGGTGCACAGCTCCGACCTTTGCTAGGGCTTCGAAGGTCACTAGCTTTGGGGGGTCTCTACTCTTCTCTGCTAGTGAAGATGATAGGTGGTCTCTGACATCTCCCCCTTCTTTTTCCCTTAAAAATTCTTGTATCTGTAGACCAGAAATATAAGAACAAGTCCCAATTTCTATGTCCAACAGTTCCTTTTTTTTTTTTTTCAGATGAAGCTCATCTTTGCATCATTTGGCACCCAAAGGAAGAGGAGGGGGCACTGCAATGGGGACTGCTGATACTGCCTCTTCTGTGTTTTCATTGTTGATCCTATTGGCCAAATCAGGTACACACGCAGGTATCACTGTTGCTGCTATTCTTCTGATCCTTGCAGGACAGTTAGATGTCCATCTCAAACTGAGCACCATCCCCAACTGCATGCTTTCTGTTATGATTGTTCAGGTTGTTCAAATTGTTTACTTCTACTTTGGAGTCCTCGATTAAGGTGCCAGGGCTGGTGACTCCTGGGATATTGGGCAGATGGCAGGGTGGGGTCTGAGCCATGGGAGAATTTCGACGATCCAACAGAAACTTTCGATCATAAATGATTCAGGTTCCTCCCGGTGTGGTGGAGAAGAGCGTCCCCCCGGGCATGGTGCAATAGTCATGAGGTAGCTGCGTGGCGTCTCTGATGGGCATGGTGCAGGTGGGGATGGCAGGGCTCTGGCTGGGCTGGTGGCCGCTGCCAGGGGACGAGGACATGGCTCTGGGCGCAGGATCTCGGGCTTTGTGCGGCAGGAGGGCAGGCAGGCGAGCAGCAGCAGCAGCGGGGGCGGCGGGGCTGGGTGTGCTCCGCTCCCTCCTCTCAGGCTTCCTCTCCTTCCCTAGTCCACTCAGCTCCTGCCGCCGCCCTCTCAGCTGCCACCGCCACCTGGTTCTCCGCCAGCAGCCTCAGCAGCAGGAGCAGCTGCAGCAGCGGCTACGACCAATGTCCAACAGTTCTGAGACTAAGTTTCAATGTCGGACAGTTCATGTGTATATGCCAGCAATACATGCTGGTTCTGGATGGTGGACAAATGGTGGAAAAGCAAGTCTGACCCTCTCTGGTTTGGTCCTGGGCAAAATGCAGCGATGCACACCTGGTGACTGCTAGCATGGCCAGACGTCTTCACCATCTCCATCTCTGAACTATCTCTTTCCTGTCATGGTGGCTGGAGCAATCTGGTCAGTTTCTCTCTGGGATTTGTTGTTGCAGGAATCCACATTGTCTTGCAGCTATTCTTTGAAAATATACAAACATATTCTCGACCAAAGGTTAATTTGCCCAAATGATTTTCCTTTGGCTTATTTTGACATTATGTGTGTTTTCCTGGGTGTCTTGCCATTAGCATTATAAATGAAAAATTTTATCTAAATGTAATTTAGTTACAGGATCTGTTTCCTTACATGGCATTTTTCCACTATATTTTTCCACTATCCCCACTTTTTTTATTTTATTATTAGGAGGATATTTGGAAATTTTATAATGCAGTCTAGATAACTTTAAATGCTATTTTTTTGCACAAAAATATGACTGCTTTAGTTCATTGCATGTTAAGCAATTTTACCACAAAATGAAAATGTTGGTTAGTACTTCTTGAATAATTACTTATTTCAAATTATCCAAATTTAATTAATTTGAAAACTTGACTACTATTTTACTGTCAAATTTAATACTCTAAAACAATCTTAATTTACATTGTAAATATTAATGGAAAGGATTATTTTGCATCCTTGTGAAGGCCCTGAGCATTCCTGTTGTTAGGCTAGATTTAGATATAGGGTAGCTGCTGTTAGCCAAGTCTCTGTTTTCTGGGTCCTGATCTCAGCTGGACCAAGTCTCTTTCTGTTATCTGGGTCCCAATCGGGGCTGGGCATGGGAAACTAGAAGCAGCCATGGGGGCAGGAGACCTCCCTCAGAAGGGGTGAGTGTTCAAGCCCCTGGATAATTGGGGGGGGGTGAGGATCTGTGCCCCACCTCTGTTGATCCCCAAGTTCTCTTCTACTGGCCCCTCTGCGTCTGTGCCTGTCTTAGGTCGTTCCTCCCTGGAAATCTTACCCGTCATTGGCTAACCAGCCATCCTCCGGGGCCAAGCAGGGTGATGTGAGGTACAGTTCTGTCTCCTTGATAGCCTATGCCTCTGTGGCCTCCACACCCAGCAACTGCCTTTGGATCCCCTCACCTACTGGTGGGGCCCCGGCATTGATCATGGGGAACCCAGGTTTTCTTCTCCACAGAGGGCCCAGCTCACGCCATTGGGCAAGAGACAGATCCATGGTACCAGCCACCATGACCTCAGCATGAACAGAGAACTCAGGCAACAGCTGTAGGCAATTGGATTGTGAGAAGAGGGACCCTCTTGGCAAAAAGGTCAAGAGAGGTCAATACAGAATGCTTAAGTGCCTTCCAAGGGGGCCTTCCACACAGTGGAAGGGATTAAATCCTTTCATGTCCTTATTAAATTGCTGCCAAACATTCAAAGAATTAGTTTGTAAGTCTGTTTGGGATAAATGCACAACATGCTGTTGTAAAACATCAAAAATTATTAATGAAGCTTTTAGAATAGTACCATGTAAGAATATTCTTTGCTCTAGGTCATGACAATTCAATTTTAAACTGGCTGTCTCAAGGTTTGGGATGAGGAACCTATTTTGCAAATAAGGCAATTTACAGAAGCAAAGACTGCATGCTATCTAACTTACTGTTTTGGGTAAACACATTATCTAGAGTTCTTGGGTAACCTAGGTTAAACTTAGGCATGTTATCTAAATTACAGTTTTGGGTCTATAACCCTTGGGTGACCTGGGTTAAACTTAGGCACTTTATCTAAATTACAGTTTTGGTTCTCCAGAACACTGAGTTAATAGGGACACATTAACTGGAGCCCTCTGACCTTGGGATAACTGTGCTGTCCTTCCCAGGAAAAGGAAAATGTGCTTTCTAAGACCAGTATGAATCTATCTGAAATAATCATTACCATACTTCACTTTACCGTACCCCAGGTGGTTTCTGTGCTGTTTGTTGTCCAGAATGTCCTCCTCCTGCTTCTCATCTTCAGTGGACTGCTTGGAGTCGCTGGACTTTGTGGCTAAGATAGTTGATTGTCTGCAACTGCATGGTGTGGCTCCAGGCGCAAGGTCCTCAGTCTGGCTAGTTTCTCTCTTGGATCCCTGATGCAGTTTAATATTTCTACCAGGAATCCACACGGGTTTGGAAAAATTATCTGGGAATATACAAGCGTACCCTCTGCCAAAGGTTAATAATGGGTCAGGTCCCTTCCATAAGCCAGATTCGGGATCTTTCCATTTAACTAGACCATTTTTTTGTTTGTTTTATTCTGACACCAAGGTAGCTCCATACGTTTCATTCCATCAGCATAACAAGTGAAAAAAATTAAAGTAATTAAGGCTTGGTGCAGCCTACCTGCAGATGATTTCTCCATCATCCCTCCTTTTTGTTTATCAAGTTGGGATTTTAGCCGTTGATGCTGTCAATCAATAATGGCCTGTCCTTGGGAATTATATGGTACTAGAAGCTCGGTGCACAAAAGTTTGTGCACTCAGGGGGGAGAGGGGGTCACTCAGCCCGTCCTGTGCCCTCTCGCAGTCTGAGATCCCTTGGGAGATAATGACCTGCTGGCTTAGGCCTGCTCCAGGGTGGCAGAGGGCAGGCCCAATCCCTAGGTGCAGCCCCTGGTGGGGCTCAGAGCAGGGCCGATTGGGGAGTTGGGGCACTGCCCCTGTCATGCACAGAGCAGGGCGGATCGGGAGGTTTTGATGCCACCCCTAGTCACGGCTGATTGGGGGGTTGTGGCACCACCACCTGTAACACTCAAGGCAGGGTCGATAGGGAGGTTGCGGCACCACCCCCTGTCACGCACATAACAGGGCCGATCAGGGGCTTGGGGCGCTGCACCCTGTCACATACAGAGCCCCAGGGCAATAAGGGGGAAGGGAAGATCCCCACATCAGGCACAGAGCAGGGCTGATCAGGAGGTTGGGGCACCTTCCCCTGTCATGAACAGAGCAGGGTGGATAGGGAGGTTGTGGCCCTGCCCCCTGTCACACACAGAGCAGGGCCGATCAGGGGGTTGGGGCGCCCCACCCTGTAAAACACAGAACCTCAGGGCGATCAGGGGGTTGGGAGCTCCTCCCTAACAGGCACAGAGCAGGCTGATCAGAGGTGGGTCACTTCCTCTGTCAAAAAACAGAGCAGGGCAGAGAGGGAGGTTGTGGCCCCGCTTCCTGTCACACACAGAGCCGCAGGTGATCAGGGGGTTTGGGGCTGCCCTCTGTCACGCTGATCCCAGTTGCCGGGGAGCCTGCGGGTTCCACTGATCCCGGAGCTGGGAGGCATATAACCCCTTTTACTATATAGGAATAAAGGCCTTGGTGCCCGGGTTGGGGCTGGTTGTTTTGCCCCTGAGAACGTGTACTGAATCAGGTGGGGGACGACCACTGGGCAGCTGGGCCAGCCAGCTGAAGGGGCCGGAGAGCCATTTTCAAGCATG